AGCCTCACCCATCATAGTGAGTTCTTCATCACCCTCGGAAACATAACCCACAACCACACCAGCTCCTAAACAACCATAATTCCAACCTTCATTTACTTATCAACCTCACCACCCTCATCACTAATTTAACTAGAACCCCAAAATAGAATAAGAAACAACCCAAAAAGAAACCACCTAACCAGAACCAATAACCACCCCCACCAAACCCTCAACCAGAACCTATCAACATACAACCAGAAACCACCCAAACAACACCCACCCAACTAGAACCAACACCCACTCACCCAAACAACCAACAGTTCTTGCAGACATTCCTTCCTCCTCAAAGCAACCTCCATCAATCAATCGAGTACATGAAGTCATCGCCCAAATGGAAACGTTATAGAGACATCCAGAGGTACCACCTTGAGAAACCATAATGATGGACAATGTTCATCAGTATCTCTATCATGATCATGATCAAGAACATAGTCCTAAATCCTCTAAACTTATCACCAAAATCCATGGACTTGATCAAGCACTGGTTCGTGAGTCAGCACACTTAATCGCATCATGCCGTCTTTTTGAACGAAGGAATAAATATAGTTAATGATATCAAGCTCTGGACCTTTGCCAACAAAGCCATCAAGTACACTATTGAGCGAACACATGGGATGATCAACATTCTCAACGAGAAGACTTGATCAACCTTAACCCATAGGACTTGATTGATCTAAATGGAGACACTACTCAATGAGAGGATCGTGGGATAAGGTATGGCACGGATCAGAGAGCACTATAGAGACGACGGGAACTCTAGTCAAGTTCTGAGCAAAAAATGATTTTCAAATAGTGCTTGAACTCGGCATCGAAAGACTTTTCTGCATAGCTCCAAACGAAGACTTTCCTAGACTGTAAAAGAAACGCTCTACCTCCATCTTAACTCAGCCGAAATTGGGCTTAGTTTTCAAGAACGAATTTGGTGCCAAGAAGTTCTTCCAGTTGACTGAGGAATTCAAGTATTTATCGACACGCAAGAATGGTTTCAGAAGATCATCCAAGAAAGCTTAGGTAGAGGCTATATACCAAGGACAGAGGGAACATAAATGACATGTAATTTTTCTATCCCTTTTTACTTCCATACTGTATGAAACAATCCTATCAATGAAAATGAAAAACATTTGACAAAAAGAATGTTTCTTTTAGCATAGTTTATTGTGCATAGATAGCTATTTGTTTGTCGTTTATAGATAGTTATTTTTTATTTTTCATTACTTAAGAGGAGATTGTTAAGCCCCATCACTCTCATATGTAAAAGTAATGAAAAATTTACTAAGTATGGAAGTATGGAGACCCGATGGAAGAAGGAGCCGAAAAAATTCTAAATGCTGAAAACAAAAATGAAATGGAATGAAGATCCAGAGAGTTAGTCAACTTTTTATTCAAACCAGAGCCGAAAAACTTCTCTAAAGGTTAGTCAACTTTTTATTCAAAGCTTCTCTAAAAGTATATATATTAGTGACACTTTTCAAGTATTTGTGACGGTTTGTAAGAGTTACTAAAAGATACTTTTAGAGAAGATAATGGAAAAGCTTCTCTAAAAGTATATATATTAGTGACACTTTTCAAGTATTTGTGACGGTTTGTAAGAGTTACTAAAAGATACTTTTAGAGAAGATAGTGGAAAAGCTTCTCTAAAGCTATTTCTTCTTGTAGTGGTGGAATGTTACCAAATCTTCTTTGGGAACCATCATCATCCCACTCCTCATATGAGAAGTCTTTAAACGAAAAATTATGGATAAGTATTCTAATAAGAGGGCCATGGATCATATTGAGGACGAGTTTTGGGCACTTAAGAAGGGGGATAATCTTGTGGCTGAATATTCCAAACTGTTTATAGAAAAGCATGACATTGTGGGGCATCTAGCCTCAGATGAAAATTTTAAAGTCAAGATCGACTGATATAAAGACATCAATAAAAAATTTAAGGTATCACTCTTCAATAAGCAATGGAGGAAGCACAATTGACTTAAGATGATATTGCACAAGGTAAAGAAGAGAGCTTTGCAGCTAGACAAAAAAGAAAATGGAAATGCTTACCCGGGTCCGCAAGACAATTTAAATTTTTTTCTAGAGGAAGGAAGGTGGATTCCCATGAAGAAGCAAGATGGTGTCATAAGTGTAAGAACAAACACAATGGTTCGTGCAATCATAGATCCAACTCAAACCTGACTGAATGTTTCAAGTGCGGGAAGAAGGAAAACATAAGCCAGAACTGCCCCATCTGAGGAGCGGTTTATTTCGAATGTCGTAAACTGGAGCATGTTAAATTAGATTACCCAAAGCTAGTGGGAAGTAACCATGGAGTTTCAAGCGAAAACCCAACCAGGAAAGAGAACCCTACAAGATCACCAAGTCCAGCCATCCAAATGACTACTGAGGAAGCGAAGGAGAACGCTGACATCGTACTAGGTACGTTTCTAGTTAATTCATTTCCTGCATGTATTTTGTTCGAGTAAGGTGCAAATTGTTCGTTTGTATCAAATTATTTTTGCATACAATTTGTTATCTCTGTTACCACTCTAGTGGATGCTTTAGTAGTAGAAGTAGCAAAAGATAATCAAGTTTTGATTCGTGAATGTTTTGAGAATTGCACAACAGAGATTGATGGGAAACACTTCTTTGTGAGTTTGTTGCCTATGTCTATAGGTGGATTTGATGTTGTTGTATGCATCGAATGATTAGTCAAGGATCAAGTCGAGATCATTTTCTCCAAGAAATGATCTGAATACCCATGCCAAATGTTGAGACAAGGTCATCTATGGAGAAAGAAATAGATGGACTACTCTAATTATTTCATCACTAAAGGCGTGCAAGTGTGTATCTAAGAGATATCTCTCCTACTTGGCTTATGTATTTGATGCGCAATTAGAAAAGAGGAATTGGAAGATGTTGAAGTAGTTCGTAAATACCCAGAAGTTTTTTCGGATGATCTACCCAGTTTACCGCTGAAACGTAGTATTGACCTCATTCCAGGCGCAACATGATAACGCCATCTTTTGGCATTATTCTAATACCATAATTTGGGTAAATTTGGCATGTTTTCAAGCAGACAAAGCATGATTTTAACAATTTTCCTCGAGTTTGTATAGGATTCCAGATATTAGCATAATTGAGAAAAAATGGAGATTTAGATGTAAAATCTGAGGAAGTGAAACCACCATAGGAGTATCTATTGAAAAGGGGTGACTGGGACAACTCATACAGGTGAATTTCACTGGAAATCTCGCGTCCTGAATTCGCGCCTCCTACTAACACGCATGACCTTCCCCCTGATCTCAAGCCAAGGGTAAAGTCGTGCAACCCATTTCCATTCTCCAAAAGATGTCAGCTTCTTCAAATTGAAAAGGGGATATCACAATATTCGACGTAGGGTGGCTGGAATTGATTTTAGGGAAGAAGATACACTTTTCAATCTTCAGAACGCACAGAAAACGATTGATATTGAAGATTGAAGGTTGTTTTGATTATATGTGCATGGAGAATCATCAAGAGAGGGAGTTTTACAAGTTTTTAGATTTCTTATTAATCGTGATGCCTAGATCTATGTATTATTCTACCATGGTGTTATTTCTTACCACCCCCAACATTAACTAATATTCAGATGTTGGGGGTTGGATGATTTTTGTGCTTTTAAGCATATAAACACATAAAAGTGGAGTTCTATTAGGTTTTCAATTTAATGAAGCATATGATTTTTGTTTTATGTTGGTATCAGTCAATTGTCAACTGAGTTATTCATCTTGAGTGTCTTTGAGAAAATCATCCCAAGATTAGATTTGTAAATTATCTGCCTAGGGTAAGAATTTAGGTAGAGATATATCAATTAGACCCTAATACAATTTTTACAATCTTAGTGTTATTACGTTCTGGAATTTGAATGTTAAAATTCATAGATAAAATAGGTTTTTAAGATATGAACTCATTATAACTCGAGAAAGAGTAACAAAAAAAAATTGTGATTGTGTACTGATTGATTGATTGACTTGGTGTTAATTTGATTTGAAGTGTTTTATGTGAAACTTATATAGGATTCCAACTCTTAACTGCTTCTTTGCCATTTAAAGTTTTTAGTTTTTCATTCTCCAAAATTGCTCAGTTTTTCCCACGTCTTAATTATCAAGTTAATTAATTAATCAACTCATCATAACTTGATCATGTAGTTAATAGTGGTTGTAGTAAATGTGATACTCAGTAACTAGTTCTTTTTGTTCGATATATGTACTTACCATATGTATTACTTGAGTCAATATTGTGCACTTGCGGTTAGATTTAGGGGGGCTGTAAACTCTCCTATGAAGTTTTTGTTGTCGTTACTGGAGAATTAGTTTTAATCGATAACACTACCCGCTATAAACGTTATTTCATTGGATATTTTATTTTCTAGTATTTTATTTTATTGTACTCTAGGTTATTAATCCTCCATGTTCTGCATCTCAAATACTGATTGGTGTATGCAAGGACATTTTCAGGGCAAGAATTTAGAGCAATATGACCCAAAAATTGAAATGACGCATGTCGTTTGAGAAAGAAGCCAAGGCTCGAAAGTTGAGATCAATTGGAGAAGAACAACCAAACTTCTACGACTTACCATCACCTCCACCATTGTCACCACTGGCTCGTGTTTGTATGAGGGCTTATGAGAAGCCAACTGCCACAAACATAAAATTAAGTGTACAAGTACCAACCATAACTGCCAACAACTACTATCAACTACTTCAACAAAATCAATTTGGGGTGCGCCTACTGAATCCACATAGTCATCTTCATCCATTTTAAAAAATCTGCAGTACTTTCAAAATGAATGGTATTCCATATGATGCTATTCGGCTTCGGCTATTTCCATTTTCTCCAAGAGAGAAAGTAGCCAATTGGGAGGAAAATTTTCCAAACGGACAAATCAGAACATGGGACGTGATGGTAACTACGTTCCTTAAATCTTTCCACTAGGCCTGACGACTCACCTTATGGCAGAGATCATTCATTTTACTCAATGGGACCATGACTCACTATATGAGGCATGGGAAAGGTACAAGGATATGCTGAAAAAGTGACCACATCATGGACTGCACAATTGGATGATTATCCAAACTCTTTTGAGTGATTTGCATGCTCAATACAAACCTGTGTTGATCCCAGATCTCTCAATAACACGAATATTTAAGTTACGAATAACCTAAATATATCGTGAGGATGAAAAATAGTGATAAATAATTCAAGAATATTCAAGATAATATTGGAGTGTAAAATGATTCACTATTATTGAATTGATTGAATGGAAAGCGTAAACGATTACAAGAATAATAAGACCTATTTATACTAGTAATCTAAATATGGAGATTGCTATTTATGGAAGATATATCGCAAATCTCTTATGGAAAGAAAGCAATCTAGAAATATGGAAACTAAATAAGGCAAAGAGAATCCAGCTGTCGATTTTCCATCTCCAGCTGTCTTCTTGAGGGCGTGTTCAACCATGAGTCTTTGGGTCTTCTTGAATGAATACCTATGGTTGAACAGTTGTTCAAACCTCCAAGTGTTGGTGACCAGATGGGTTATGGAGAGGTGATGTTCATCGCACCAATGGACCTTCATCGCATCTCTTGTTGTATAGGACACTTAGGATTTTTCTTTGTAAGTCTTCCATCGCCCTTCTGCTCTTTCACACTTGTATGTTTTTCATTACTTTTACAATTTAGAGTGATGGGGTCTAACAAAATGACATAGTTTTTTTTTTATTAATCTGGATATCCAACCCGCTATGCGAGCCGACTAATCCCAGAGCGACTACCTATTTGGCAGATAGCCCGGAGTCACCACATTTGAACCTCCGTGGCCACAAGGGGATTTTTATTCCTCCTTGGATTTGAACCTCAGACCTCCAGGTACTTTTAACCTTTGTAGCCAAGCTCAAACCAATCAGGCACCACCCTTGTGGTTAAAAATTACATTGTTGCTGCTGCTAGCGGTGATTTGGTGAATGACTTATGAGGAGGCAATTAAACTGATTGAAAATTTGTCTGAGAATAGTTATACTACTCTAAGGTCTTATGTAAAATGAATTTCAAGTATTCAAGAGTCCGAGGATTTAGAGTCCATCAAGGCTCAATTACCTGCCATCACCAACCAACTGAGAACCATGATCCAAGCATCACTACAGTTTCCAAAGCTATACCCATCTTACTATAAGCCCACCCAAACCGAGCAGGTCTAATTTTTACAAAACAAAAATGTTGATCCTCTCTCATTGATTTTGATGATAATCCCTTTTATCTATCGAAGTATTGTGTTTATGTTTATTCAGTTTCAACGATCATCACTGAGTCTGTTAAATGATTGCTGAACATATATTGTAACTCTCCAGTGACTGTTATACTTTAAGAAGACACAACTCACACCAAAGAACCTTCAGTAATGTCGAAGACAGAAACCAAAGACTAGAGGCTACCGCGTTCGTGATCTGAAGCGACATTCAATGATAACAAGCTCGTCTACATATAAGACTACACAACTTTCAGTGAATGTTGAAGAGACTTCCAACATCATCTCAAACATTCAGCAATCAAATGAAGCTTACCATGCATGATTTTTTTGTCTTGTCCTTCCACACACTAAAGACAAACCCATACCTTTTCTAGAGTATAGTACTATACGGAGCCACTCAATTGACTCCATATGCTTACCAACTCTATGAAAGATGTCTGCTCATGAACAACCAAAAGGATTGTTCACTGTAGAAAAGGACAATCTTTCCACCAAAATCTTGACACGTATTGTGTACCTTCTAAATTGCATTTAATGCAATGGGTATAAATAGCTGAGTGTTCTCTACTCAGTTATCACTCATCCTTTCTAAGAAACTTACCCAAGAAGTTACTTCCCTCACTACTCACTCTCTAAAGAGAAAGAACCACTTTCAACAAGTGAAGAACACTTTTCTAAGTCATTATTTCTTACAACAAATCTTTTGTCTTTGTTAAGTGTAATAGTGTGTATTTTTAGATTGTTTAGATAGATTTCTTTACCTTATTTTTAATGCAAACAATCTGTAAGATAGATTTCTTTACCTTATTTTTAATGCAAACAATTTGTAAAATTTGTATTTATCCTTCTTTATCAATATATAATTTTTAAATGTAAAAGTTTCTATGTTTGTATACCCCCCCTTCTACAAATTGATCATATAACTCTTGTAGATCTAGCTGGGACCAACAAGTGGTATCAGAGTAGTGTTTGCTTCTTGTATTGTTTTGTTGTTTTATGGGCATTTTATTATCTTTTCTTTTCTAGATAATTTAATCCTTTACAAATGGCTTTACAAAACACTAGCACTCACTTTCACGATAATGGCTTTCTTGCCAAACCTCCCCATTTCATAATAGACAATTTTAGTCTATGGAAGAATCGGATGTCTCTCTTCTTGGAAGGTATGGATTCTGATATTCCATAATATATAGAAAATGGACCTTATGTTCCATGTGCTATATCTCCAGTAGTTCCTGCAACTGCTACGACTGCCACAATTCCTGAACGACAGATTCCAAAGCTTCCTCATGAATGGAGTGATGAAGACAAGAAAAAGATGGATTTAGACACTCATGCGAGTTCTATAATAGTCATGTATCTTCCTAACGAGGTATATCACTCTGTGATGAATCTCCAAACCTTGAAATCTATGTAATGTGTTAAATATGAAAGTACTACTAAAGTACAAGCATCAATGAAATTAATCGAGTAAGACAATATGAAAGCCTTCTATATGGAAAGAATGAATCGTTGTCTGAAGTACATCAATGTTTTAATTGTCTTCATATCTATTTGAAGACAGTTGGAAGAGAATATTCCAACTCTGAGACTCTGACAAAGTTTCTTGAATGCTTTCCAGAATCATGGGATCAATATACCATATGTCTCAATATGTCCAAGGACATGTCGCCCCTCTCTCTTAGGTCTCTTTGTGGGATACTACTCAATTTTGAGTAGTCCCGTCAGCTGAAGAATAATCTTCTTAAAGATTTTAGAGAAAAGAAAAGCTCTCCGTTAGCTTTGATCTCTGAAAGTCCTTCAGTTGACCCTTCTAATCCTTCAAACCCTCATATTTCTTCTATTTCTTTAACCGAGTTAGGTCCTACTAACTCTAAGGACTTGTCAGATCATGATCTTTCAGATTTTGATGAGTCACTGGCCGTTCTAACTAAATCTTTTTCGCAGATCTCCTTCGTTGACCATTTCTTAAAAGGCCAAAGTCAAATCTTATTGACAAGGATTCAACGATCTATTACAACTGTCAATGAAATGTCACTTTGCAAGTGAATATCGGTCTAAGAAGACTGTAACACCATCTTCCAAGCCCCATCCTCCTTCAGGATCAGAACATGAGTAGGTTGATTCTTCAAAAGAATCATCCTCTAACAAGGAAGATATGGCCTATCTTTGTCTAATGGCCAAGGATGTCAAAGATGAACCATTAGAGGCATCATCCTCCAGTGATCCCTCACATCTACATCTACTTAGGAAGTCAAACGCATTTGGTATCTTGATAGTGGATGCTCAATACATATGACTGGAGACAAATCCATGCTCAATGAATATAAAGATGAAAGAGGTCCTTCTGTAACCTTTAGAGGAAACGAAAAAGGATATATTAAAGGTTTTAGTATATTAACCAACGGTGAAACTACATTCAACGTGTTGCATATGTTGAAGGACTGAAACACAATTTCCTTAGCATCAGTCAGTTGTGTGATAAAGATTTCACAGTGAAATTTTGTAAGAACTCATGTTACGTTCTTGACAAAGATGAAAATGTTGCTCTTATAGGTTCTCGTCTATTGAATGTGTATGTCATCAACATGGATTGTCCTCTAGCTGAAAATAGTTGTTTTTTTTTCTAAAGCCTCTTTAGACATCAACTGGCTACGACACAAATGACTCTCTCATCTCAACTTTAGGATGCTAAATGATATGTCTCGAAAAGATCTTGTCACTGGCCTTCCTCAACACTCCTTTGCAAAAAAATCTCTTTGCTCAGCATGTGAAAAGGGAAAGCAGACAAAGGCTAGCTTCAAATCTAAGCAAGTCTCTTCAGTGACCTCTCCACTTCAGCTATTGCACATGGATCTATTTGGTCCAGTCAACGTGCAATCTATAGCTGGAAATAAATATACACTTGTCATTGTTGATGAGTATTCTAAGTACACTTAGGTCTTCTTTCTCATATCTTAGAGTGATGCACCTGAAGAAATCATTTCATTCATCAAACCCATAGAAGTACTAAACAACATCAAAGTATGGTTTATAAGGAGTGATCATGGTACTGAATTCAAAAATGGTACTATTGATAACTTCTTTGAGAACAAAGGAATCCCACACCACTTTTCATCTATTGATAACTTCGCTGAAAGAAGAAATCAAACAATCATTGAGGCTGCTTGATCCATGCTCAGCGAACCTCGTCTCCCTATTCAATTCTAGGTTGAAGCTATCAATACTACTTGTTTTACACAAAATCAGTCATTGATCGTCAAGAGATTTAAGAATACATGTTATGAACTCTTCCATAGCAGAAAGCCCTCTCTCAGCTTTCTTCACATATTTGGTTGCACTTGTTACATTCTCAACAATAGAGACCAACTTGGAAAGTTTGATCCCAAAGCTGATGAAGGAATTTTTCTTGGATATTCTTCAGTATCCAAAGCCTTCAGAGTATTCAACAAACGACAACAAACTATAGAAGAAGCTATCCAGGTTACCTTTGATGAATCTTAATCAGCTAACTCTAACTCCATCTCTGATGATGATGAAGAGTAAGAAAACTGGATCATATCTCACTATGGACAAGCTGAAGCTAACTTCAACAATCAACCCAGCGCTGACCCTCCTGAAGTTGATGACGATCCATTTATCGTTCCAGATGTGACTAATAACCAAGGCGAATCCTCTTCAGGGATATTTGTAGTGCCCATTAGTCACTTACCCCCTTCTATTTCAAACACTGACCTTTTAGTTGCTGAAAATCATTAAGTTTCTGAGCCTCTATCAGTTGTTGAATCGCTCAATGAGAATCCT